ATAGGTGTAACGTGGGTGTACCGGGGTGCACCCACAATCGCTCGCGCGGCTGCATTCTGGACAAGCTGAAGTCTCCGAATGCTCTTCAAGGGCTGGCCCCTGTAGAGCGCGTTGCAGTAGTCAAAGTGATAAAAGTGTGAGAATAAAAATATTATTGTAAAATATAATGAAATGAATGCCAAACATTCTTCAGCATTTAATGATTAATATCAACTTTCACCATCAGCCCCAGCCGTTTGTGTTTAGCTTAAACACAATTGGTGGTGGTTGCCTCAATTCCATGCTGAATCCTGATCATTACGTAAACACATACCACTGTCATGGGTAAGCACAATGACATAGTTTTCAGCTTCAACCCCAGGTGGATCCCATTTCAGCAAGGTTTCTGTTGGAGTAATGTTTATGGCAATCAAATTCTTTGGATGATCCATGGCTGCAAAAGAGGCAAAAAGCAAGATGGGGTAGTCATCAGAATTATGTAGTCATTTCAGCAACTAGTAATAATGAAAAAATAAGACCAAGACAATAGAAAACATAGTAAAGATTTCTGTTTATGTATGCAAAATTTAGGCAGGAGAATAATATTATCTATTTCTTAAATTTATTTCTTAAATTTATGTGCCACCCATCTCCCCAGTAGGGTGACTTTGGATGGCTTATGACAGCAAAACACCTTATTGAAGCTTTGTAAGCCATTCAGAATCATTGATCCGATGGATGAATGTTCCGATGGTGTTTTTTGAAGAGGCAACTGGAATTTCTTGAACCTTCTTAGATGAGAAGTGAAACTTCTTCAAAGAAAAACCAGAAACTCCAGTTGCCTCTTGAAAAAGCAGCGTTGGGACAACCATGACCTGGATGACTGAAAATCTCAGTAGACATGATGGATGAACGGATGTCTCCATAAATAAATGTTTTAGAATAATCATTATCAACACATTCTCAACTAAAATGCATTGTCCGTGAAGCACTTAATTGTCATTCATACATGACCAGAGATATTTTATCACTTCCCTTCCCTCTCTCAAAAAAGGAAGATAGAAGGAAATGATGTAAACTAATGAAGCCTATAAATTTTCAGCATATATCTGAAACTTTGGAAAAACATTGTTTGTTATATATAACTGTAACTAGGCATATCATTGTTATTGCTCGATCAAGATATATTCTGTGATAATATCTGAAGATATGAATTATAGAAATAGTTGGATTAAATATTCAATTTGTGGTCCACATTTTAGTCTTAGCATTTCTCTACTGCTCTTAAATTATCCTTAAGCCCAAATTTCGATAGTATAATTTTTCGGGTCAACATTAATATAAAGATATAAATACAAACAAATGATTCCCAAATTGGCTAACATTTTTCAACCTTAGGCAATTTGAAAGGGTTAGCTGTAGGCTCAAGTCCAGATGAAGTTATCTCTGATTTAGAATAATACAAGTGGATTCTATTGGGGTAGAATGTTTTACGCATTGTTTACTATTGCTCCTTCCTTTATAACTTATTTCTCAGTGGATAGTAGTGGAGCTTTGTCCCAAAGGAAGAATTCAAAATTTATTTCCCAGATTAACATTTGTCTCTTTACTTTGTCAGGGCCAATGCATCAAATGGCTATTTAGTGGAATATTTGAATTTGACTAGTAGTTCAATATGGCCAATATAGTCTGAGGCTTGGACTTCTAAGTAGACCACAGCAGGAATTCATTGATATAATTAGATTGAACATTCTTTAGCTTCCCCAAATTTGTTTTCATCGAAAGGCCTAGTTCAGTGGGATCAATGGAATACAGGGTCATCCTATAATTAGTTAATAATGCTTGTCCATCATGAGTTATCTTTTCTCCAAATAAACTTGTTACGCTTCCAGTATGTTTTCAAAGACGCATCTCATACCTGTATACATGGTATGTGAAAGTGATTCACTCTCCTCTCTGCCCCTGATACTCTTTAGGGTGATTTCATATTCCGTTGAAGGCTGCAAGTAGTTGAGAGTATATTCAGTGATACCTTTTGCAACAACTATATTGTCCACTCGTCCTGTATGGATTGAGAAAATGACCTTGTTATTTTCAGCTAATGTAGGTGTTCCAAAAACAGCCTGACAAATGTGAGTATCCAGACAGAGTTTACATTCTTAGTTCCATGGAAAAACCTAAAAAAACACATAGCCCTTATGATGCTTCTTTCTTTTCTGGACGCAAATACAGGTAGCTCTTGACTTACTACTATTTGTTTAGCAACCATTCCAAGTTACAACAACATTGAAAAAAATGACTTACAATTAGTCCTTGCAGTTACAATTGTTGCAGCATTCCCCTGGGTCAGGTGATCAAAATTTGAATGCGTGGCAGTGAATTTACAACAGCCACGATATCCCGAGGTCACCTGATCTCCATTTGTGACCTTCCTAGCTGCCTTCCAACAAGCAGAGTCAGGGAGGGAATTGGATTTACTTAACAACTGCTTGATTCGCTTAACATCTGCTGGGGTTCAATTAAGATCCATAGCAAAAAAAGATCTTAAAATCGGGTGCAGTTCACTTAACAACTACCTTCCTTAGCTATGGAACTTTCAGTGTTAATTGTGATCATAATTTGAGGACTACTTGTTCAGCATCTAAAATCTGGGGAAAGTGGGCAAAAGAAATCTTCTAACCCATTGGAAGTATACGAATTGGCAGTCACCTACAGAAAATCTCTGGTATTGTTTCAGTTCAGACTTGGTGGACTTAATTAAAATGTAATCCAGAAATGTACAGAATAAATTCTTGGCACTGTGCATTGCAATCAAACATGTACCGTATTTTTCGGAGTATAAGACACACCGGTGTATAAGACGTACCAAGGTTTTGAAGAGGCAAATTAAAAAAAAAAGTAGGTAGGTAGATAGAGGGAGAGAGAGGGAGAGAAAGAGAGAGAAATACAGTTGGTAGTTAGGGAGAGAGAGAGAGAGAGAGTAGGTAGGCAGGTAGATGTTTCCAAGTGTATTTATCCATGGGCTGGTGAAGGAAATCACTGACAATCTGCAGCACCTGACTTTGTTTCTGCTGGCACAGCACTTGATCAATGTAATTCTCATTAATCAGTTAAAGAGCTTTCCAAAAGGTGAAAAAAAAGTTTTTGCACTCTGCAAACCTCCCCAAAATGGCCCATTTTTCACGAAAATGAGCCTATTTTTTAAAAAAAGGCATGAATAGCCTGGGGGGGGGCTTGCAGAGTGCTCTGGGGGGGGGAACAAGCAAAAAATGCCCCATTCTTTGTGAAAACGGGCCAGTTTTTTGTCAAAAAAATTGCATGCATAGCCTTATGGAGGCTTATAGAGTGCTGCTGTGGGCTGGGGAGGGGGCAAGAAATGGCCTGTTTTTTGCTCATTTCTGCCCTCCCCAGCCCCCAGGAGCTCTCTGAAAGCCTCCATAAGGGTATGCACGGCCATTTTGGTGAAGGGGCAGGGCTTCAGGAGGCAAAAATGCTGTATTGGGTGTATAAGACACACCCAGATTTTCAGCCTCTTTTTTGAGGGAAAAAGGTGCGTCTTATACTCCAAAAATATGGTATTTGTATTTAACACATTATCTGAAGAAGAGGGTTCTCCATCATAATTTATCTCATGTCAAAATTCTTGAAACACAGCGTATTTCAGTATTTCAGTATCAGTATTCAGTAAATATAGTATATACAGCAATACTTAATATTTTTGGAAAGATGTTTATCCACGCTGTGCTTTAAGATTTTCTAAGTATGATAATATTTCTTTTCTAGCAACCTAGACAAGACCGCATATTCGCTAGGTTCATATATTGTGCAGAACAATATTGTAGTTTCTTTGGTTTTGATTCAAAATATGTTAATTCATCCATTGTGGTTTGTAAGCTACGGTTTATAGCTTAGTATATTATGTGAACTAAGCTAATTGGAGCTTATTCAATAAGCCATGGTTAAGACAATGGTGGCTTATCACACTGTATGAACTCATTTTATACTTGTTTGGGGAAACATATATAAAAACCTGTGAATTAGACTGAGCTGAGAGATAACAAGTGACCCCTAAGTATCTTGTATATTTCTATGGCTGAGGATGGATTTGAACATCTCTCTGATCCAGTGGTGGGTTTCAAAAAAATTTGGAACCTCTTCTGTAGGTCTGGCCTGCTTTCCAGGTCCACTGGTGAAACTTCTCCTAACCGATTCAGTAGATTTGATGAACTGGTTCTACCGAACCGGTGCGAACCAGTAGGAACCCACCTCTGCTCTGATCCTTTAACTACTATAATATATTCTATACAATAAATAAACATATATGCATCTACTCAACTCCAAATTCTCTGTAAACATATAATGCTATTTGTTCCCTATTTTTTAAATGTGCAGTTGCATTATGTAAACATGGAAGCATGTTTACAGCAGAATGTCAGAAGGCAAGGCAGGTGACTGAATTACATATGCAGTGAATTACTTCTGGGGAATGTGTACTTCAAGTAATTAGCAGATGACTTTTCATATAGAAGTAGCTTATTCAAGGTGCTTGTCAAATGCAATGAAAGTCTCTTGCCAAAACATTTACCCCTATTTTATTTTGAGTGCCCATCTGTCTTTTAAAATTAAAATCTTTGGAAGTCTGGTGCATCATTTTATGGAACTAGAATGAAATAATCTTTTTAAGCACATTAAGACTGCAGTTCTGGGAAAACATAACTGGGAATAAACTGTATCCAATCAACTGGATCTTAAGCCTGAGCATAAAGGTGTGCGTATGGGACAATGTTAGTTTGCTTTCAAAGGAAAAATTGTTCATACAGTCAGTAAGACTCTTAATAATGTTGGGTGAAAGTAGCCCAGCTTTAGCCCAGGTTATCCTGCTATATAAATTCATTTATATATATTCTATTGGGGGCCCTGAACTCCATTCACAAACTTTGGAGATGGGGAAGAATTACCTTGGGCAGATTTGCAGGAAATCTTATAGTGGTCAAAAGGTGCCATTGGAGGTGCCCAACGGAGAGCCACAGATTCTGTAGTCACATTGACAATTGTCAAGTTCTTCGGTGGATCAATCCCTATATGAAACAAGGGGCAACAGTTAAAAATTCCAAAATTCACATTCTATATAGTGAGTAGCTTTGGGTAGCAATTATATAGTATATACATAATGCTGTATGCTGAATGCTGTCAAGCCCCCCAACTCCTTCACCATATCATCCCTTCTTTGAAAAGATATACCGGATGGATTGAAACTACCCGAGAGAGATTGGACCAATTCCAGGCTAAGGTAAAATAGGCTTTGATTTAGGGGACCCAAATTTTAGGGGAGGGCAAAATAAAAAAACCCATAAAAATCCAAAGGCATTAGATGTACTTCATGAGCCAACACACACAAGGATGAAAATATCCAATAAAAGAGAAAAATATCCAGGACTGAAAATCATAAGTATAAATCCCAAAAACTTATGAAAAAAAGAAACAAGAGGACATATTATTAACAAAGTCAGAAGATGAACCGAACCATATGAGGCACTGGAAAATGACTTTGCCTAGGGCACCAAAATGTCCAGAGCCACCACCCTATCTGCAGGTACCTGGAAGCTGATATAGAGAGTACAAGAGATGACCTTGATAGACACGTGCAAGAACTGTTATCCAGACAAAAGAGGCTGATTAAAAAAAAAACACCGAGAAACCAAATAAAATTCAGAAATGCCTCAGGCATGGGCTTCCTTGATTCTCTGGAGTATAAGAAAGGGAATCATAATCAGTCTTGCGCAATTCTGAGCCAATCTCAATAAAAGGCCTTCCTGTGAAGTCGGATTCTTGATCTGGTCTATGAACCCTAAAACTCTGAATTGGATCTTGAAGCAAAGTAGCAGCAGCACAACAAGTTGAGCCCCAGTATTATATGATCTTATCTATACCTCCAGTTAGCAACTGGCCACTGCATTTTGGACCAATTTCAAGTCCTCTCCAAAGGCAGCCCATTTGTTGCAGTGGTTTAACTATGAGCTGATGAGGATGTGGTTACCGTAACCAGGGCCTCTTGGTTCTTAAAAAACTCCCAAACCCAAACCACCCATAACTGTCATAGCAGCTAAGGATCAGCAGGGCTTGTGAGAACCTCCAACCACGGACATGCTAATGGAGAGGAGTGTGATTGAGAAGCAAGCAATTTCATTTTCATTTTTGAAAGCGCTCTGTTCCTATTAAAGCAACCAATTTGGGACAGGAGTGTGCTGTGTTTGTTGTGTCAAGGTAATTAAGGAGAAATTGGATCAGTTTGCTTCCCAGAAGCCTGTCTCTTCTATTTCCACTCATACTTTCAAGGAAACAACACAAAAAATACTAGTAATTTTATCAACCAAAGTTTGGTTGTGTGATGCTATATATTGAAAATGGTTTTCTCTGATACCAGTTATTTCTGTAGTCTAGCCAAGTGGTATTTATAGCACTAGTAATGGAAATTTGTGAGAAAACATGAAATAGGGATCTGGTTGTCCTTGTCATTACATAAAATCCATGTTCTGTCTGCCTCAATTATTTTATTGCTCCTTACTCCAATCTGAAGTTATGGCCAGTTGCGTTGTAGCTACTTGTATTTGGATTTAAATATACAAATTAAATTTAAACTTGGAAACCAAAATACAGCTGATAGTGAGAATGCAGGAAGGGTCCTTAAACATCAGAGAGCTCCAGAGACTATTTTCTAAATTAAAATTTGGAAGCTCTCTTCATTCTTACCTCCTAAAGAATAATGTTGGAATCTGCAGGATACAGTCTTAATGATTTCCCTGAGAGGAGCCCCCAACTCTTGCATTCTGCATTAGTTTCTGTTCCAGTCATTGCCCCTCATCAGAAAATGATAAATCCTGAACTAGACTTACACCAAGATTGAGCTGGCAGATGTTTTTGTGATATGTATTGGCTGCAGGATCCTGTATGGCTTACCAGAATTGTTAATATTATAAATGTATTTCTTGGAACAGACTATTAGCTCTCCAAAAGTTTAGGAATTACAGTACTAAGATAAATAAATTGAGATGGAACATTGATTTTTGGTTAATTCATGCCCCACTTAATAGATCCAAAATTTGGTTTACATCATGTTATAATTTTCATAACAATCTTCATGGCCTCACATAGCATTCTTAGACTAGAAATAACCTGTATTATTCCTCTATTATACTGAAACACTCTATGTTTCAAACATGATTTAAAGAGATGTTTTGGAATATAATGAAAGCAAACAGTTCTTTAAAACAGTCACATCCCCCCTCCCATTTTGGGGCATTATTGAAAACAGATGGGGCTATTTAAAAGAGCTGAAATAGTAAAGCACATGTATCCTAATGTGGCTTCTTCAAGCAGTATTGAGGACTAAGCATACCCTTTATTTATGTTTTAGATATTTCAGAAAACTGGACAGCTTATATTAAGTAGGCAATGTAAGCTAGTCTACCTTGAGCTAAATGTGATTTTTAATATCCCAAAAGAGTTTAGTTTAAATCAAAGAGCATTCTCTCTTTGCCTTTAATATGTACTTATATATTTATTAGATTTATAAAGCTGCCCGATTCAAACAAGGTGACTTGGGCAACATAAAAAGAAAAACAAACAATAAATCAGGGCTTCCACTCCCAAAAATGAAGCTATAAAGCAAACAAAATATAAATATAAAATACAAAATATGAGGTGGCAACCCAGCACAATAATAAAAACATCCAAAAGGGGACTCCACTCAATTGGTCCCAAACAACTGGTGGAAAAGTTAGATCTTGACAGTTTTCCTGAAGGTGTCAGTAATTTTGGTGGCAATTGTGTATATGTGTGTGGTTTATGTGTCTGGGTAGAGATATACTTACAAGGGCAACTACTCAAAAGGCCTTCTTCCTAAAGGACCTTGTAATCAACTCTCTTGTAGAAGAGATTAAAAAAACAGGCATCACACCAGAAGAGAGAACCCTCTGCTCTTTTACCTGTTGTGACTGAACCAACTATTGGCTCAGAGCTGACAAGGCCATGTACAGCCACCAGGGACATGATATATTCTGTGGATGGTTGTAGACCTGACAAAGCAGCATGCCTCTTTGTAGGGTCCAGCATCACTTCCTTGGTGTCCTTCTTATCTTTGGGGCTGTAGGTCAGTATCAGCCTATCTGCTGGAGGTGAGGGGTCATTCCAAGTGATGTTCACGCTGGAGGAAGTTACATGAGAAAAGTGAAGTTGTGTGATTGGTCGGAATCCTAAAAATAAGAGCAGAGAACAGACCTGTAATTGTGAAAATGGCAGGCTGGAGTTTATTCAGCCCCAGGATGTGAAATGTGAAATGATAAATTTGAGGTGTGCTCATCAAATAATCACAGGTAGTTTTCATTAACATAGACATAAGCTAAGGCTAAAACCTCAAGGCTATAAGCATCCCATAAAACCTTGAGTGTGTGTCTGTGAAATTTTGCATAATTTACCCTTATACATTTAGGATAATTCATTAATTAACTTAAAATAGGATCAAATGTGCCTCTCAGCTAAGAAAGCTTACTGTTACGGTGAAGATTTTGGGAATTTGTCTTTGGAATGGATCTCATGAGCACTCTTGAATTTTAGCTCTCTGTTTTGAGAAATGAAAAACTGTTCTGGAATCAATAATTCTATACACAAAGGTTCATCAAGGTGGGCTGGAATTCCTGAGGAACAGGGAGGTGGGAAAATAAGTGTATGTGTGTGTTTGTGTGTATACATGTAAATGGCCATTCAGATGCCCAGGTCATGAGAGAAATCTTCTATATATTAGAGGGCAAAGCACCAATACCGACCAAATTTGACATGGAATGCATAGACAGTCATAAAATAGCCATGCAAGATCTTTGAGTACCTGATTAATGTAATCTGATAGTTCTTTAGTACCTGTGAAGGCATCCACTGTGCTTTCCAAGCTTTGCTGACGGCCCCTTTCAGCAATGACCGAGATAGTGTATTCAGTCCCAGGTTCTAAGTCGGTGAGCGTAAGCGCAGATTTATCTTTAGAGACAGTAACCTCTGATGCCATTCCTGAAGCTTGCATGAAGATGACCCGATAATGATCAATGGGACCCTTGACTTTGGTCCAGGACACAGAGATGGATGTTTCTGTGGAAGCTGTCACAATCAGGTCATGAGGGCTGTCCAACTCTACGGCAGCAGCAGGATATGTAAAAAGACAGAAAGTAACAAGGGCATGAAATGCATTAACCTGCAGGATAGGAACTAGCTTAAATTTTGAGCTTTATGCTGAATTTTATTGTGTTTTCATGTCTGTTACATTTATCTAAATGTTAATTTAAACCGCTCTGAGCTATTTGAAGAACACAGCTGGAATGTGAAATGATAAATGGTCAGATACATAGACTCTAGAACAACAGATTACACTAAAACGTTTGTCATGAAGATTGTTTCATAAGAACATTCCCCCTGAAAAATCTATTTGAATTTGTCTTGAGAAGTAGGATAGGTATGTCGGTCTCTATACATTTTGTATACAGAAAACACAGTTGAGACCCTCCATAGTAGCCATTAGCTGTCATTCAATGTTGTTGGTTGCAAAGTCATGTTTGACCCATCGCGACCCCCATGGACAATGCTCCTCAAGGCCTTCATGTCCTCTACCATCCTCTGGAGTCCATTTAAGCTCACAACTACTCCATCCAGCCACCTCATTCTTTGTCATCCCCTCCTTCAATCTTTCCCACCATTAGGCTCTTCTCAAGTGTGTCCATTCAATACTTCTGGCTTGAAAAGATCAACAGCTACACCACTTTCCTACCTGGTCCTCAGCAATTTGTGACCACAACCAGTGACATTTTTCCCTCGCAGCTATAAATAATAAAATATTAAATTAGGTTTAGGTTTAGGTTTAGGTTTCATTTTATTTATATGCCGCCCTATTCCCAGCGGGACTCAGGGCGGCGCACAAACCCAAAGAGGGAAAGGGGAACACAAAAAACTACAAATACAGGCATTTAAAAACAACCAACAGACACACAGATCGAGGGGGGAAGGGAACTCATCAACCCCAGGCCTGCCGACACAGCCAGGTCTTAACGGCTTTTCGGAAGGCCTGGAGAGAGGTATGCCATGCTACATATCAAAAATAAGCTTTTTCCCAACTTTGAATTTGTGTTTTGAACAATTTACCTGTGATATAAAAAAGTCTAAAATAGAACACTAAAATAGAAGGGCCAGGTTATAAAATCCTGGTGTATAGCAAAAATGTATTATGTTTCATTGTTAGCTAGAAATATCCATTCTTAAACATTTCTTTATATAGGAGTTTGTTATCTTGATCATTTCATACATCAGAGTGAACCAGAAACTACCGCATTGGTTGGAGTAATAAATTTGGTACACGTGGGGAGTTCAAGTTTTGATTACTTTGTAATCCTGGAATAAGAATTCTTAGGATGCTTTCTGAGCTGATAAAGTTAGGCCTGATTTTGACACGAATGTATTCCTTTGAGTATTTAGGGTAAAGATAAATGTGATTAAGATAAATTTAACTCTGAGGATT